CTATTCATTCTAAAATTTTATTATAATTTTATATATTTTCTCTTTTTGATAAAATTAACTGCTCTATTTATATAAAAAAAATATTTAAATAAATAATCATTAAATGAGATTTTTTTCATATTTGTGTGTGTGTATATATATATATATATATATATAACATAACCAGTGGTCGTTTCAGCACATGGAGGGTTACCTGCCCTAATTCAACACAGCAATAAAAGCTAGCCCATGTATTCATGTCGTATATGCAAAGTAATATAGCTCATTACTGTGACCTTTTAATGCATACACATGCCTCACATCATATTGTTCCCTTATATTACATTTGTTTTGTTTTTTTCTTTAAAAATCTAACAAATGTTGAACAATAAAAGAATATTTGGTCAAATCTCAAAATTATTCATTATTTTTGTTTGATATATAATATAATAAAATTTGAATTTGATATAATTCTATACATACAAATTTAGGTTTTATTCAGTTTCCATATACCATACAATGAGTGATGTGACGTTTTTTATATATTTATTTATAGCTTATATAGACAAATAATTTTAACCAACAGAAAAATAATTAATTTTTTTAATGATATATAAAGTTAAATTCAAATAAAAAAATAATGAATTTAGTTAAATCAGTTTTAAAATTCTGTGCGCGTAATTTCATTCTCTTTCGTTTAGGGCATGGGCGTAAATGAGATAGTTTAAATGAATAAGAATATATTCGTGTTTATCTGTTTATTTTAAAGGTATTTATGTTTGGTTTAATTTTACTATCATGTTCTTGTTTGTTCTTTTATTTATGAAGGTGTTCGTGTTCGTTCGTTTATATGTTCGTAAACATGTTCATTTGCAAGCTAAAAAATAGTAAAATTATACTACTAGTGCTTAAACTCCTTAAGATTAATAGTTTAAACTCTGAATTTTATCATGTGTTCAATTTAGTCCATACATTCATCAATATTTAAAATGTAAAAAATCAAAAGTAAACGAGTTTGTTCATAAACATAAACAAATGACTCAATAAACGAGCTCATAAGTGAACTTGGTTGTGAACATAAACAAAGCGAACACACATTTGTTCATGTCCGTTCGTTTATTAAATGAACATAAAAATTTTATTCATACTTGTTTATCTAGATTAGCAAACGAACATAAACAAATGTTATACGAACGATTCACAAACAACTTACTAAAGGCTCTGTTCATTTATACCCCTAATACGAGGATCTCTGTTTTTGAAGCCTAGCTTGTCAAGGTTATGAAATAAGCACCTAACCATTATAAATTTGGAATAATTTTTTTATAAATTATCCCAAAAACTAATTTACTCATTTAATATTTAAAACACTAACTATTTGTAAGGAATTTCATTTGTTTATTTTTATATTCAATGCCATAGATAACTTGAATAGAATACTTCCAAACTGTTTGACAAAACTATTTTCTTTACCTAGCTAAAAAAAAGAATTTCTACCGTAGCATTAATTACATTATTCACACTTGTTAACCATATAGAAAATTAATAATGCCAATTAGAACCGAAGCTCGTTATTATACATGACGTGCACGGTGACGAGTCAACAAATACGTTTTTCAAGTAAACGTAAGAAAATTAAAATAAAATAGTATTTTGATGAAGTAAATTATTAGTTAAAAGAATTGCTATTATAATTAATCTTCATAATATTCAATTTATTACAATTAACCTTTTAGAATATCGTTTAAATGATTTACGTTTATATTTTATACAATAAATATGTAATTTTAAATTTAAATCAAAGATTAATGTCCAAATGATTATTTAATCTTTATTTTGTATAAAAATCTGTGAAAAAAGTAAGAGCAACAGTTTACTTATGAGATAATAAAATTTTGTTTTGATAGGATTGGATTTATTTAAGAGAACAAAATAGTCCAAAAGACTACAGTATTTTATCCAATAGTCTTTAATTGGAATTTTCCAACCAAATTACTGAAAGAACGTGAAAATATGCTAAAATCAAGAAAAAAAATATATTTTTCTCTAATCAACTTGAAATATTTATTTGTTTAATGCAGGTTGTGAGGCTAGAAATGACGTTTTAGCGTCTTCAAGCATATTTTTTTTCAATAGTTGGGGTTAATAAATAATTAAAATTGCCCAGTGAAAACAGCAAAGATATGAAGAATCGGATTGGACGAAATGAAGATCCCTCCTTAACTCCATTATTAATGCTAACAACTTGGCTTGATTTATTTTAAAACATGGAAAATATAAATAAATATACTTAACTAATCTAATTTTTAATATGAACTCTGTAAATGCTTTGAAATTATATAAAAGGAACTTCGACACGGCGGAGTTGTGATCTCAATTTCTTCTAATATTAAACATTGACAGCCAAAAGTCAAAATAATTTGCTTTATAATTGAGTTTTTTTTTTTTGGGTACAATGCTTTATAATTTGTTTAATTAAAGAAGTATTGATATGTAATTTCAAAGAAGGTGGTTTTGGTTAAATCTAATTACTGGAGAATTAGTTTACCAAATCACAAGATAAAAAGAGTTGAGTCACCACTGGCTATTGATATTTAAAATTATCTTAAGAGTTCAAAGCATTATTTCACGAAATTTATTAAAATTAATTTGATGCGATTTGATAAAATTAAGCTATTTTAATCTAAAATTCAAAAATTATAAACTATATTACCTAAAACTTAAAATTCTAAACGTAAAAATCAAATCATAAATATAATACATATCATTAAAATAGATATATTCGTGCAAATAAAAAATTATATAATCTATGTACCTAATAAATTTTCATATATATATTACCATCCATCTATAATCATTTTTGTTGACTATAATTATTACCTAAAATAGTTTTACATGTGAAAAAAATATAAATTTAGTTAAATTAGTTAAATCAACAACAAATTTATATTGATTGTCAATCTTTATTACGGATGATACTAAAGTTGATTAATTGAAGTTTGAAAATTGAAAGTTGAAACCTTAATTCAGATTAACGTAATACATTTCAAAATTTAAAATTTTGAATTATACTAAGAAATAGTTGATTCTGGTACACATGTAAGTTAGTGCATAAATCATTCCGTCATCTTCAATTACTCCAATTAATTTAATTTAATCATTTTTAAATTACATCACACACATGTATATATATATATATATAAATATATATATTGAATAATTTAAGGTGATCACAAGCTAGTATATGTTTAATATATTTTTTTGCCATTAATAACGTACACATATCCACATATACAACTGCTTGAACATAGAATCCCTAAGGGTGCGTTTGATTCACGGAATGTAAGATTACCAATGGAAATAAAAGATTACCAGGGAATAGGATTACTGATAATATTGTATTTTGTGTTTGGTTGGTTTAGCAGGAATGTAAGATTACCGTGTTTGGTTAAAGGAATAAAAGATTATTGGAATGTATATTTGACCAAATTGTCCTTATTATATATTTGTTTTTTAACAAGTTGGAAAATATTTATATATTTTCTTTAAAAAAATTAAATTCATAAAATTTATATAATTTTTTTTACAAAATTAAAAATATAAAAAGTTTAATGAAAGGTGGTAAAATTTTATTTTAACCCCTGAACTTCATATAAAATTTTAATTATGGAATTTTTTTTGTAAATTTAAAATAATTTAAGGATAAATTTGTAATTTAACCTTCGTAGTTCAATGACAGAATAATGATATTTTTGAAAGAAAAAAAATTAAGGGCATTTTAGTCCAAAACGTCGATAATCTAACAATAACTAAGGAAATGGAGATAATGACATTTCCGATAATATACCCTAAAAATTTCACTATTGATAATATAAAATTATCGGAAATGACATTTTCAGACAACCAAGCAGTTAAATAGAAAGACAAAACACTTGTGTTCGGCCTATCAAGCCGTTTCCCCAAACACATGTTTTATCCACGTTTCAACATCAATTATAATTTAATAAATAAAAAAACGACAACATCAATTATAAAATGACATTATGTCTTTATTTACCATCAAATTGTCACCGTCTTTTCTTTCTCTTTAAGATAAACCCTTTCCAACGGTACTTTGTTTTTTCCCCTTTTTGCATATAAATGTAATTTCTTCATTTTTTCCCGAATTTCAACTTTCTTCAACGGTACCCTTTTATTTTGTTCCACTGTAAAGCAAACGGCATTTTATATATTTTATTAGTATTATGTTAGAAGGAATAAGTTCAAAATATAATACGAACGATTATAAGTAGAATTATTCAACATAAAATGTAGATTAGAATAATTAAATAAATAAGTTTTATATATGAAGACAATTTAAGTTACATAAAATTCGACATTGGTAACTCTATATAAATCTAAAACTTAATTTAATTAATTCATACAATTTCTATAGAAGGTGTCACTTTTAAGATTTAAATTTGGAAGCACGGATATGCAAATTTTCAATATCTCCAAACTATGCGGTACTTTCTAAGAAAAGTAAAAAGTATCTCTCTATGTTCAATTATTCATTAATACATTGATTAGGTTCTGAGATTCGAATCAATGTGACTAGAGAAGATGAAAATGACGTTAGGGGTGATTCCCATGAATCAAAGGCTATATTCAACATTTAAAAACCGCCAGAAAACAGAGATCTGATCATTTTTTTTATTAAAATCAAAATCTTAGTTACAACAAGTAGACATTATTGGCATTGACCTTTCGTATTAACGTTATGTTAGTCTTATTAATTGGAATTTTTTTAAAACCATATATATTTAATACTCGAGATTGTTTTAATCATCGAAACTAAAAAAAAATTAATAGTTTTTGAGAAGAAAAGGAAAACTATGTAGCAAATTATAATAACACACAAATTATCTAAAAAGCATTAATAGCACACAAATTATAGTAATTCACAAGATAACACAAAAACTACATGTGAAAAAAAAAGAAGAATTAAAGGCTAACAACCATGAATTGTTATTGATAAACTATGACTTGTGTGGTTTCATATATTACAAAAACTATGGAAAGTGATAAGTTACCCGTTAACAAAATATAGGCAAACAAATCGAATAATTCCCCGTACAGAATTACAGTAACCCTAATAAAGAAAAGGAGTGGAGGAAGTCGTAAATTATTCCCACAGGGAACTAGTTCCAAAGCTGCCTGCTGTTGAATTCTCTGTAACCCATAGCTGATCATAGAATCCTCCGTAGAAATCTACTGGTGGATACACCCACCCGTCGACCGAGTCAAGGAGTATAAATTCGTTCCGCGAGTCGAAATTCCCATCTATGTTGGGTAACTGAATGATTTCACTCAGCTCCTGGGGTTCTCCTGAGGCATTGGACTCTGACGGAGATGAAGATTCGGATACCAAAGACGATGACGAAGAAGATGATGATAGGGTGTTGAAGTTGACCATTGAAGCAGCTTTAACAGCGGCGGCTTGGATGTCACGGGGCAGTAATGAAACCGGGCGAGGAAGTGAGTCCACAAGCTCAGGGAAGTTGAGAACGGCGGACTCACCTTTGATGCTCAAAGCAGCAACATCGTGAGCACGAGCTGCCATTTCTGCGGTGAGGAAAGTGCCGAGCCAAATGCGAGATTTCTTGCGGGGTTCGCGGATTTCAGACACCCATTTTCCCCAACTCCTCATTCTCACTCCCCTGTAAACTGGGGATTTACCGTCGTCCCTAGGTCTTTTAGCTTTGCTGCGAGTTTCTGAAGAAGATGAAGAAGATGTAGGGGATGAGTTTGAGCTATTATTATTTCTGCTGCAACTCTCAGCTTCTGATGATGAAGAACGATTTGGTTTTGTCATTTGCTTTTTCGAGGAGAGTGACCCAAACTTCTAAGAATCTCCAAGGCACACAATTAAATGCAGAGAAAAAACGAGATAATTACAACGAATATATAGAGAAAATGGTGGTGAGAAAGTTTGTTTTGAGATAGGGGGAAAAAAGGACGCTCCCTTCCAAATTCCAATGCTACCCTTAACCTACCATTATTCGAACGATAAAAACGGGAAAAAGTTAATATTATCTCTAACTAATTATTTAATATTATTATAATGGGTGTTGGAGCAACGGAAGAATGGGTCAGCTCTCCCGCCTACTAAACTGAGCAACGGGTGAAAGGTGGTGGATAGTACACGTATATACAAATCCAAGTGTTCCTGCTGCAACGTTCCAATTACAAACAGTGTAGTTCGTCTCATTAAAACCTTTTGGGTTCATCACTTTCTGTCTTTAGTAGCACTCTCTTTGTACTCTTATTCAAAACCACGTCACCATGACTCCAATCATCGCCCGCCATTGTTTTGTTCATTGCAGATATATATATATATATATATTATTTTTAAAGTTTTTGTGTGGACAATGATAAAAATAGATTCTATTTAATTTTTTAAAAAATAATCGAAATTAAACTTGCTGTGCAATATATATACCCAGAAGCGTCCGCATTCATCACAACAAAAACAGACATTTCGTTTATGGGACCCTTTCACTGATCTGATCGGATCTATTTTCATCACACCACATACAAGATGTTTTTGCCTCAAAATCCAATATATATATTTCATTTCTCAATTATTTGACTCGTATATCTATATATTATTATTTTTTTGTCGGAGCTTTGACACTGGTTTTGTACTAATGTGAAACCATTTTCATTTATATATTAATATGAACAGAAAATATATTTAAATGATAATAAGAAGAAAAAAAGTAAACAAGTTTAAATATCATTATGAAAAATAAACAAATTCAAATGTTAAAATATAAATTATCCTTTTAAAATTTTAACTTTTTATATCATTACTAAATTTAGGGTCAACTAACTAACCGATTTTTTTTGCAGTCCCACAAACTTCCTTGTGCGTTAGCATTTCATTTCCTGACCTGGTTTTTTTATTTCGACATTTCCCTAATATGTTATCAATCAAATGATGAAAAAGAACAGAACCGATATTTTATTTACACATATCAGATATGCTCAGAAATGATCATCCAGTTCAGTTGGTAGAGCACAAGGTTCTTAATCTTAAGGTCGTGAGATCGAGTCTCACGGAGGGCATTTCATAATACGGAGGTCTCTTACGGAAGCTGCTCTCAACCTAGTGTTGGGGGTAACCTACTATCTTACCTCCCTCTTACCCCATACATATAGGAAAAAAGGACAGCCATTTTATATCAGATATGCTCAGTGCAATATAATAATACGAAAAGAAATACAAATTAGTTTCTTTACATAAGAATTTCGTATTACTTAGCTAATATTATTTGGATCGATGTTGATTTAACAGCTGCAATATTGAAAAAAAGGAAAATAGAAATAATATTAGTATAATTTTTTAATTAATATTCTTTGCTAAATGAAATTGCACGTGATTCATAAAATAGAGTTGTAGCTTTTAGACAAATCTATAAATTAGAAAAACAATCTTTATCTATCCCAAGTTTTTAAAATTTACGGATAAATTTAATAAAACGATTTTTAAAAAAGTAGTTAAAAAATAATAAACACGTGATGGACTTTTTTCAATTTATTTATGAAAATTTAAAAAAATTAACAACAGTGTATGAAATACAAACTCAAATATATATATATAATTTAATAAAGTTTGTTGTTCCCTTCAAATGTCTTGGAGTGAAGTAAACATATTTGGTTCAACTTCTAATAATTTTTCAATTCCTAACTAACAATTTAAGGTATAATGGATTAGGTAGTAATATGAATTAAATATTGTATCGTTGATCTCATTCTTTGTTGCCACCTTTTATACTTGTGTATGATTTTCCCCCTTCGTTTTTTGAATGATTTTTTTTATTTATTTTAAAAGATGATCTATTTGCTCAGAACATTAAATTTCTGGTTCCATTTAATGAGTTACAGTATATTGTTTCAGTCCCTGTTTCTGCTAAAAATGTGGTATGCGTATAATTTTGTATATTTGTAGAATATCTACCTATAATAAGCTTAAGCAATATAATGATGAGTTTAAATGGAAAATGGTTCTTCTTTTTTGGCTGATGGCAAAGCAGGACTTGGCGGAACTTGGATTTCGGAAGCCGTCGGAGATGGAAGCTTCGGTCGGAAATGAATTGCCCACCGTGAAACTCGATTCCAACTGAGCTGGACGGGCTAGTCGTAATAGTTTCAAACGTATTTTAATTAATATGGTTAGTTCTAGATACTTGGTATTAATTATTTGGATGGTTCGTTAAGTTTTCATTTTTTTTATTCATACTCTTTTAGTTAGGTCATGACTTCTAAACACATTACAGGGACTCCCCGTCTTTCTCCTAAAGTCCATCATTTTCCTCCCCTCTAGATATGATTAGATTAGATTTAGAATTTATAAAAAAATACTACAAATCAATATAATAATTTAATAGTGATTCGTTTGTTTCACTGAAAATAATTTTTGAAAAATGTTTTACGGTATTTGAAAGATGTTGTGTAGACCAATTTTCATTGTTTGATAAGTTTTTTTAGAAATTATTTTATTACAAACATAAAATATAATAAATAATATTATTTATTATAAAAAAAATTAATATTATTATTTTAAAATATTATAATAATTTATTTAATTTTATTTATGCCAATATTATTATCAAAATATCATTTCTATAATTTTACAAATAAAAATATTAAGAATAGTACATTCTATTAGAATAAATATATTATAAATTAATAAATATGTATTAAAATAAAAATATTATATTATATTTTTAAAATTATTAATAAATATATTTTAAGGATTTTATTAAAATATTATTAGACTATTATATTATTATTAAATACATAAATAATATTATTCACTATTAATAATTCAATAATATTATTTTTAAGAGATTAATAAATAATATAAATTTTATTAATAATTTATTATATATTATTAAAATAAGAATATAATAGTATCATATATTATTAGAACATGTTAATAATTAATATTTTTATTAAAATGATACTAAAATATTATATTAATATTAAATACATAAAAAATATTGTTTTGAGTATTTATGATTTGAAGTGAAAAGTTCGGAAAATGACTTACGAAAAATCAAATCGTAAGTTATTTTTCAGAAAATTCAAAGGAAATTCTGTTGATCAAGAAAATGTTTTACATTGACTAATTTGTTTTCCTCTACCAAAACACTGAAAAATGAGGAAAATATTTTTTTAAAAAATTTTTTACGTAAAACAAACTGACCCTAAATCATTTATATACAACTAAAATAAAGTTTGAAACTAAATTGAATAGTTTAGTGATTACAAGATAATGTATGTTCAAAATTTTCTTAATCTAAGATATAACTACTCAAATGGTTTGATTTTATTCACTTTGATTTTTATTATTTTTCTCAAACTTATGTTTATCTTATTGTTTTGGATTCAATGAGTACAATTAAACGAGTATTTTGGATTTGAGTTAAAGAAATTGATATTAAGTTTTTTGAGTTTGCATATATTTTTTTAATATTCGAATAGTTTCAAGCTTAAATGATTTTAAAATTTTATAATTAAATAAATTTTAAATAAGCTCAAAATCAAACATTTTCAGTAATTTCTCATTTTTTTTCATTTGATATTTTTTCCCCTTACGCAAACTGTAATAAAATTAAAATAGAAAAAAGAAAAAACAACGGTTGGCGGGAGAAAAAACCTAAGACACGCAACAACAACATTTACCTGTAATTACAAAAAAAAAAAAAAAAGATAAAAAGAAGAGTTTTTTAAGCTCTCTACCTACTTGCCTCGATGACTTCGCTACATTTACCTTTTGCATTTTTCCCCTCTTCTCTTTTGCTTCTTCCATGGCGTACCATTTGTTTCTTCAGCTGCCACATTTCTCCTACCACGCGTAAGTTGTATTTTTATGCTCCCCTATTTACTTCGTCGATGGTATTTACTCCTTGAAACTATTACCTTCTCTCAATGGATCGAGAGAAATTTTTTTTGGTTTTTGTCGCCTTTGCCTGCATCAAATCTATGGTAGTCTTCTTTTTTATTGCGTATGCTATTTACTTTTAACTGATTCAAAGTATACATTTTTATTTGATTGTTTTTGGTTACTTGAAGTTGGTTGACTTTCCTTTTTGTTGTATATTGTCTTAATTAGAACTTAGAACCCAATAAGGCACTAATGTACTGTCAGTTAATCGTTTGATTCATGTAATATTCATTTTGGATCATTTAGAAAACAAAAACTCTTTAAAACCAACAGGCTAAATTAATCAAAACGGAAGATGGGAAGCAATGTAATTTTAATGGATCTGTTGTTAGTTTGAGGAGTTGAACATATTTATCTGTCACAGACAAACTTTTAAACCCTCTAAGGGATGGAATTGGAAGCCTAGTTCAAGTGCATTACACTGTTCAATGTTCCACCGAAGGCTGCAGGGGAATTTTTTCGCGGCAAATAAGTGCAATTTAATTGGATTACGGTTTGCTGGTTACACTTCTTCAAAGGGTACATTTCAAAGTGCATTCTCGGCAGTGCCTTCTTCCCCTCCTTGTGATCCTTCTGGTACTGGCAATAAGGCTTTTTTACCCGAGGTTGATTCTCCTTCAATCGAATTCAATCGGGTGAATTGTCTTGTTTGGGTATTACATGAAGCTGCCAGAAGCTTTTCCCTTGCAGTTGAGTCACTTGAGTTGGATGGAAGCCGTGCTGAGGTTGCAATGGCTTGGAATGGAAAGGATGTGCATCAATGGCATAAACGTATCGCTCATCGGGTAAATTCTCAACAGCCCCAAATAAATTAAAACTAATTATGAGCCTTTACATATTTTTTAGTCTAGAAATTGTAAATTTGAAGTATTGAAATTCATGTTGTAAGCAACTACTTATAGACTGGTTAACCATATGGTGCAAAACTTTAGTGGTCTGTTTGTTGTTTGTTCCTTGAACAACCATCACACAGATACTTTTGTTGAAATGAGATATGACATTGTTTTGTGAATTATTAAAGGAAATGAGATACTGGAGAAGAATCGTTGACTAATATGATTCTTCAGGTAGCTGTTTATGCTATGTTGAAAACGGTAATCGAAGTGGAGATATTGCTCTCTCAAGAACATCATAACAATCCATCCCCAGTTAGAAAGATGTAAGTTTTTGTAGCAGCTAATTTAGTCTATATTATTAGTATTATCATAAATGACATTAAGAGATCTATAACTTCAAAAATCAACTCTTTTTGTTTCAAAGATTTCATACAGTTATATCAAACTCAGATAGTGTTTTTGCTAATGCCCGCATAAAACTTCCAAAGAAACTCCATGTTTCTCTGACTCTGGCCTAGTCATTGTCTCTCTTCTTCCTAATTATGCCTGGTGATAGTGGCGTTTAGCAGCTCTAATGTTTCGTTTTTCCATTTTCTTCAGCTTGACTGCAGAGACAGGTTCGTTAGAGGAGTTCATTGAAAGTCGGTTGAAATTAAGACATCCGGAATTGGTACAATGGTTCAGAGTGGTGGAACTTCCAAGGATGAAAGGATTCTTCATTCCATTGTTAAAGAAATGGTCTATGGAGTATGCAGGAAGGTTTGCTCAAAATACTCCTTTGTTTTCAACCAAAAGTACTTTGTTTTCAACCAAAAGTACTTTTTCTTCCCTATAGGATTATTGACACCCTCCTTAATATTTCTGTCCTTATGGTAAATGTGAATTAGATTCATTTGTAATATTTCTGTCCTTATTGTAAATGTGAATTAGATTCATCTGTTTATTTTCCCCCACATTCTATAGTTTCACCTTTGAATAAATTCACTGATTATTCTGTAATCCGTGGCTTAACCTAAACACAAGAATATTCAGTGGTGTTGCAGGGATTATTATGGCTATTAGCTGCTGTGCTGCGGTAGAGAAATTGTGTTCTGAACATATCTCTTGTCCCATGTCTAAAATATCAGTAGGCGATGTTATCGTGGGGCTTATGGATCTTTCACATGGTATTGTTTCGGTCGACAAATTACACCAATTAGCAACGGAGGCAGGATTTGAAACTCATTTCCTGTCACATTTTGGTGCAAAGGTTCTGGCTAGCAAGAAGAGTGATGAGATAGAATTTTGGATAGGGTTGGCTCTGAGGAAACTCTCAGTAGCTTTCACCAAAGAAACCGTGATTCCAGGCAAACTGGAATTTAACAGCAAGGTTTGTCTCATGATTCCCAAATATTTTTAGTATTTTTAGCAGTGTGTCCTTTTAAAACACATTGTCGACGGTTTAAGTTTATGTAAACATTTGGTTTTAATATTTTGATTAGGTTCAAGCAGATAGCTTGGCTACATTAGGACTTTTGCATATCTGGGGAGGAAGACTAGATTGTTTTTTTCACAATTGCGTATAAATGATCTTGATGAGCTGGTGAAGGACTTCCTGAGGTAAAATGTGTCTTGATTTCTTTGACTCCTGATTGCTGCGACTCACCATTGAAATATGCTATAAGAGTTGTAGTGCTTTGGGTGCAGCTACTTGGAGTGTGGAAGTCTTTTCATTTACCCGGAGTTCTCTTCCATATCAGTTTACCAATTCTTCATGGAGGTTAGCTTTATATGCCCTCTCCGTTAGAAATGCCTATCACTAGCCATTTCATTTCCACAGAGTTTGGAACGAATTCTTGTATTTTATTCTTACCCTATGTTCCTGGCTTAGAATATCACATTGAACTGTGAGAGTCAATCTCTAACTGACGTTTTTCAGACACTAACTAACCCGAATGCTAAAATTATACATACAGGTAGTAACCGATGAAATTGGGTGGCTTGATTTTATGGAAATTGTTCTTTCACTAGCAATTATGAAAAAAGGTCCAAGCAGCATGCCATACAAGCAGAGAAAGCAATCATATTGTCATATGTTTTTACTGTTTGCTATGATGTTTTTTCTGGGTTTGCGCACTTCAGCCGCTCGGCTCAGCAGCCCTTAGATTCTCAATTGTTAGCATTCTTGCTCCAGAGGTAGCTAATAATCTTTCTACCATGATATTTTAACTTATCTGATTGTTTCTTAGTAAATTGCATTTTTAAGATATGATATCTGAAATTTTCAGCCAAAGGCTGTTGTCTTTATGTCTGGAAGATTACTGGGCGGCTTACGATAGATCAGGGTATGTTGGTTGTTTCTTATCCGCAGTAGAATGAGCTTTGTACTAAAAGAATACATTATTGAGCTAATATTGAATTATCTAGCAGGGAACCGTTAAAGATTACAGACTCGGGTGCCTCTAAGCATGGACCATCTACAGGAGCCACTGGCTCAACCCGGTTTTCAGTGGCGTTGGAAGCACTGGCAGAGGAATCTCAAATTGATGAATTTGGACAGTTTCATCTGCTGAAGAAGGTATGCATTCCATATTCAGATATGCGATGTTATGTCATTTCCTTTCACAATAAATTCCATTGGCAAACTTGTAGATTTGAAGAAAAAGAAAAAGGTGAAATCTTGTACGACTGTAAGTAGGATAAACACAGTTCAAGCAGTGTTACTCGACTGAGAATTTAACAATCTCATGAACATAAACCTCTCTCATGTCTGGACATAATTAAGGAAGAGAAAAGACTGACAGACAAAGTGATTAAAGTTCTTCTAATGTGTTCTTTGATCAAATATCAGTCAAGGAAAATGTCTTTAAAAGTTGCAAAGCCATTAGTGTTTTGCATGTCATTGCGGGAAACCAAACATGATCAGTGATGACAATACCGGATAAGATGAGCAACGGAGTTCTGATCAAAGGTGGACGAATGAGATAGATTCCAGTAGGAGCAAGGTTAAGATGATGATAAAGCCATAAAGGTACTACAGAAAGTATATGCCATCGAATTTAGCATAGAAGTAATTCAGACAAGCAATGCCTGGTCTCAACTGTCAAGATCTATTATAGTTTTCCATTCACAAGCTTGAAGCAGGACTTGCATTTATGCATTCTACCGTACAACCATCTCTAACAAAAAAGGAAAGGGTCACTTACCGTGAACCTTCATTTACTGGTGCAAACCCCATATGCAACCCTGAAACCAACATTACCACTCAGCAAATTAACATCATTTAGTCTGTTTTGACACTTAGCTTTCGAAGATTGCAAAAATCATATGTGGAACGTTGACAGCTTAATCACATCCACGCACACATAGATTTTACATATATGGACACCTGTTACCACTTGCTTTACAGTTTATTTATTTATTTAATATTTTCTGTTGATAGCTGCAGCACTTCTGTTCAGCCAGCAAAGATACGGTATCCTTTGCAGAGGGAACTGACATCTCCAAATCCAATACCTTGCATCAGAGTTTTATCAGAAAATGCTGCACCGAATTGGTCTCCTCAAGTTTCGTAGGGCCAAAAACCTTGTTCTTATCACTGAACAGACTCATACTAGATCTTCATACTTTGAGCATTAATAGTAAAATAATGAAAATTTTGCAGGATGTATGGTTGGGAACTCAGTTGCTATTTGTCGACCTCACAGTTTCCCTGGAGCTACTTTCAAAGCAATTGCGAGGCCAGAAGGTCACAGCCAGAGAAAAAAGGAAGTTAAAAAGAACATTGAATGACATTGCTACACTTATTCCTGTTACAATTCTAATGCTCCTTCCCGTAAGCATTTTAACTCCTCTCACCAATGCTTTCATCACTCATAGGATGATTTGCTATGATGAAACCTTTTTTGAAACATCTCATTTACATCCTTTCATTATGCTTAGTTTAGGTTACCAACCAAGTTTTTGTTCCTAGAATGTAGTCATCATCTGCAAAGCAATCCCCCACAATTATTTGCAGTTCCAAAGGCCTTCCATGTTTACTTGTAGATAAAGCATCATGCTTAGTTTTGCATGTGCACTCTAATGCATGCATGCTGCTCATGTCTTTTCAGTGCTCATCTCAGTAGCTATGTTGCTTTTGACACTTCATATTCTATTAAGTTCTTTGTCCGATATTTGTGAAACACATATATCCATTTCGGAACCATACCTATGTCCAATATTCACCATCAAGTCTGAATAACATGCAATAGGTTATGTAATTTTCTTTTATATATTTGAATGGCCAGGTATCAGCTGTAGGTCATGCTGCAATGCTAGCAGCAATCAACAAGTACATACCATCTTTGGTAAAGAGGCCTCATTGTTGTCTCTTCTTTCTATTTATGTTAACCCTTTTAAAACTTTGTGCTAAATCCTAGTTTCATTTATTTCCCCAACTAGATTCCATCACCATATACTTCTGAGCGTTTGGATGTTGCGAAACAACTGAAAAGAACCAAGAAGATGGAAGTTACATCGTGGAGCAACCTTGAAGACTCTACCTCCTAAACATCTTTTTTCGGGTTTAACCATATGTATCTTTGTCTGTTTTACAATCTGTTTTGAGTTTAACCATAGGTATCTTTGTCCGTTTTACGATCCAAAAATAATCATGTTCAGGTCATAGTAGTATTCAGGTAAAGCCCCTCCCAACACCTCTTAAGCCATATAAACTCAAAATCCCGGTTTCACATTTGATTACAGGCATTTGAGCTTACAATTTATAATTTGTACATACCACATTGATATGTAGATACGCTCAGAAGTGAATATAACTTTGGATGTATAAATATTTATATTATCTGATTTCTTTCTCTAAATATATGCGACTCGTATCATTATTAAATATTTGTCATGATAGAGTCTGTGAACGTAACGAGCTTAAAATTAAGCTTCTTCAAATGTACTGGATTTTTTATGTAATATATCTCTTCAAGTATGATATTCTCTTATCTGATACTTATTCCAAGTGTAGACGACATGGGTATAAAATGCTATAACCACCTATTCTAGAAATTGTTAGCAACTTTATTGTTAAATTTATATCTACTATCAAATTTTCAATCACATAACTTTTAAAGTTGGCATCTTCTTTATTTCAAGATGCTAACAGTTAAATTTGATTTGTTAAATCTAAAAGGTAGATAGACTACATTCTTGATTTTTTTTAAAAAATAAATAAATAAATTCCAAATGTACATGGCATATGATCTTGGAACACATTTTGACCTAATGATAAAATCAACATTTGTATATATATATATATAAAGCAAACAAGAATTCTGAAAAAAATCATATCAACTGCCTTTAAATTTTCATTGATAACAAAATGCATATTTATTTGTAATCCCACAAGGAAGAATATAAATGTCGTTAAAATTTAATCATATACTTGGTATCGTTTGCATTCTATAACCACACTCGGAAATGCAAAAGGCTCGTAGCACAAAGCCCATAATTAATTTCACATGGAACATTGATTTATAAAAGCTAAAAAAGTCATTTCTATAAATTTAAGACAACATTTGCAGGCATTTTAACAGATCAAACCTGCCGTTCCTGTACATTGTCTCAGTCGAAATGCTTTGCCGTGGAAATAAGGATTTCTTGTGGTTGCATTGCCAATGGAAAAAACAAGCTGCACAAAACTCTACAATTCCATTAAAAGAAAAATAAATTGTGAAAAAAAAACATTTTCCCAACACGTTCCTCACTTGTTTTACATGCAATGCAATGGTCAAAGCTGCATGTATTGCTTCAAAAGCTATTACCATTATTCCAAGACCATACCTTACACTGTCCTCTTTGGATCACGAGAGGTTGCAAGATGGTTCTATAACACTCCTAACTCGTATCCGACCCGGATACGAATCCGAAGTGTCACATTGATTTTTCAAATCATTTACTTTTACAAGATAGTTGAAAATTTAAATGCACATTAAAATAAAACTGAATAATTTACATTAAATACAATCACATAGTTTTACAAAACCGATCAGAGCATATACGATTTAAACATTTAATTACATGCCAACTAAACTTAATATAACAAAATACATACAGTTCAAATCGTTTCTGATCTGATTTTCAAGTAGGGTATGTTGTTCTGACTTGCTTAGCTTTAATCTCCTTGCTTCTTTGTACCTACGTGTGCAACACTCACACGCTAAGTCTTTGACTTAGTGAGGCATATAATGCATAATTAGAACATTAAAACATGTAATTACATAATTAACTTTTATAAACATAATAAGTACATAAACTATCATACACTTCACCCAACAAGAAGATGTAATATTATGCACTGTTTATTCATGTTATTTCTTTTTAACATCCCATGGTATATTCTTGAGAAATAAAATCCTAAAACACTTGACATATTCTAAATATATCATAAAATCATATAAAGAAACTATGGAACATTTCATATAACAAAAGCTTATATGCATATATATATCATAAACATCATTATCATTATCATTCACTATTCATTTATATCCTTTCTTTCAATAGTCCATGTATATCATTGAGAACTTAAGGTATGTGAGTGCATTGAGGTTGTGCACAAATGTTGTCATCACAGCTCGTATAAATTGCACCGAAGTGCCGCGTAGAAATTGCTCCGAAGTGCCACATAGAAATGTCCAGAAGGACCACATAGTATTGTCCCGAAGGACCGCGTAGAACCCTCAACTCTTGGCATGCCAATTATACCCTTAGCTCTCATATCACATACTTATGGGCTTTGTCATTTACACATTTCACATATTCATATAATCACGTAGTTCAATATCACATAGACATATAATCACACAAGTCCTTGTTACGTAGCTTATATCACATATTCATATAATCACTTATGTCAATACCACATAGCTTATATCATATTCTCATGTAATCGCATAGGTCAATGTTATTTAGCTTATCTCACTTTTTTATTTAATCACATAGGTCAATTATACCAGTTCACATAGGTTATCACACATATATGTATTCATATAACTCATGATCACATAACTTATATCTTTTTCTC